TTCTACATCCGAGAATTACAAAACCTATGTTCAAGTACACATGGAAATTTTACAAAAATCGTATGTGGGGTAGGTTGCAACTTTGTTCTCCACACATGTGGTGAGTTGATATTTGGTCGCAACACAGTACGATCAGAAACACATCATGTAATTTTACTTTTGTCTTCTTTTTTTTTTTTTTTTTTTGTATGTCATCTAGCAGCTGTTGGGTCCATTTTTTTTTTTTTTAAAGTTCTGTTCTTTTTTTTTTTTGATACCAGAGATTGAACTTGGGTCCCTTTGCTTGCAAAGCAGGCACCGGAACCACTGAGCTAAATCCCAGGCCCTATGTTCTGTTCTTTTTAAGGTATATCTGAGTATATGGTCACTGCAACAGCCCTATCTTCTAGTTCTGACACTTGTCCTCAAATTTATAACTTCTGTTGCCTGTACTTTGAATAAAATGTTTAATCTCCTAGAATTCTGTTTGGTACCTTTTTATGAGTTCTAATTCTTTGCTAAACTGGTCATTAATGTTTTGTACCATTTTCTTTTGTTCAGATAGCTGTTTATTAGTATCTTCTATAAAACTCACTGTTTTATTAAGCCCATTATGTATTTAATTATATTGTCTTTGAGCTTGCCAAGCACGTTACTGATCTGTTTTTTATATACTCTTTCATTACGTCAAATAATTTGGCTTTGAGGCTTTTGATTCCCTTCCCATTGATAGCCCATGTATCAGCTTTGGGGGAGTAAGATGAGTTTTTGGAGTCATTTTGTTGTCTTGTCTTCTCATGTTGTTGTTGTTGTTATGTGTAATGTGTTCATTTGTGTGTGTGCATGAGCTGAGCTTTGTGGGTCAATTTTGGTGGAAAGACTTTGTTGCTAGTATAGAGACCTATTCAATTAGCATCTGCTTTTCAGTGATACACTCTGGGTGGGGCTAACTATACACCTTTGCTTCTGTCCCAAGATTCAACTCCCTATTAATTGGGGAAGGGAGGGTGCAGTATAATTTGCCGAGCACCCAGCTCTCCAGAAATGGACCACAGTATTGTTAATGACACAAAGACAACCTAGATAATGGCATAAAGGAAAAAAAAATGGAACACTTCATGAATCTTCATGTCATCCTTGTGTAGGGGCCATGCTAATTTTCTGTGTATCATTCCAATTTTAGTATATGTGCTACCAATGTGAGTATGGAAGCAGTGGTTCGTATCACCTCTAGAGAGCTGATGTGTATGGGATGTATGAGAAAACTCTAGAATAAAAATTCTAGAAAAAAACTGCTCAACAAATAAAATTTTAGGCATAGGCTGGGCATGGTGGTACACGCCTGTAATGCCAGCACTTGGGAGGCTGAGGCAGGAGTACCACCGTAGTTTGAGGTCAGCTTAGGCTACATAGTGAGGCCCTGTCTCACAACAACCAAAACAAAATTTTGGGGCATGGGTTTTATCACAGATTCTAGCTTTCACAGTTCTCTAAGGGAACATTGGCCTCACTCCAGTATTTGATACCCAACAGCCACTGAAGCAACTTCCCCTCCTCCAGCACACAGACATAGGACTGTTCTTAAAAATCTTGTTCAGGTTTACCTGGGTTTCTAAAACTGACCTATGGGCTGAAAAGCCCTTTGTGTATAACCAGATCCAGGTCCTTGTATCTTCAAGAAGCTTCTTCCAAATTCCTGAGACCAGTTTTGGTAACAGAAAATCAAGGTTTTCCTGAGTGAACTTCCTCAGCTACACATCCCAAATAGAGAAACTTGTATGCTTGCACCTATCCTTTCTGCAGCACTGAAGGAGTGGGGGTCCTCATCCATGGCCATCTCTTCCCAGTCTTCATGTAACCCTTTATTCACTCAGGTACTTTTCTCCATCATCTATTAATTCTCTAGAGCTTTTAATGTTTTACCACTAGCTGATTCCTCTGACAACTACAACTGCAAACAAATTCCTCTTTAAAAAATAGAGAGACAAAGATATCAGCCCTTAGTCTTCAGTCTTCTGTAAATGAGCTGCCAGTTGCTACATCTAGTGGGCTATCCACACTTCACTTACATGACCTCTCCTAAGCATCTGTTTCTGCTGAGCCTTTTTACTTTTTTTTTTAAACCAGGCATTGAACTCTGGACCATCACTTGCAAGCGAGGCAGGCAGCAGAACCACTAAGCTAAATCCCAGACCCTGCAGAGCCCTTTCTTTATGGGCTTGTCTTTTCCCTTGGCTCCCAATACCCTCCTCTCCTTCAGCTCTTCTGCTGGTGCTCTGACCTGTCTCCTGATTCTCGCTGGTCCTCTTCTGTCTGCACCATGGACAGTGCTTCCCAAAACCTTGCTTCGAGCCCTCCTTTCTTCCTTTCTCTCTGGCAAACTCACTCACTTTAATGGCTGTAGGTTGCACCTTTATGCTAAAAGCTCCAAGAGCCTAGGAGAAAAATCCACCTGGAGTGCCTACAGGCATGTTATCCCCCTGCCCAAGTACTGAGAATCAAACTCAGGATCTTGTTTGTGCTTGCCAGACAGGTATGGCACCACTGAGCTACATGCCTAGCCCAGGTATGTTATTCTGAAAATGTTAAAAATAACAATGACGATCTCCCTGCCCACCCCAAGCAAGCTCCATCATAACAGCAAATCATTCCAGCAAAAAAACAGATGGAGTACTCCTTTTTCACATCTGTACTTCATATATAATCCAGCATGGTAACTATAATACTTTGTTGCATTATTTTTAACATAGTTCTGCTGGCTTAAACCACAAGTGGTACACGTATGACTCTCTCATCAGGCAGCTTATACCACTGGTGGTACAAAAGAATCTAATCACTTCTGTTAGTCTTTTTACTAATATCATGCATGTACTACCAGTAGTTAAGCCACCTGGCAGCTAGACATACAAATTATGGCCCCACTATGAATGTGTTAAATCCCTATCTGCTTAGACTTTAAGTCATTCAGAAACAGTCTCATCTCCCCATTGGGGAAGCATACCACAGTGGTTAAGAGCACAAGCTCTGGAGCTGGGATGTCTGGGTGGTAACTTAGCCCCGCCACTCAGAACACACCATTAGGTAAGTCACTTAGTTGTGTTGCTTCAGTTCTCTCACTTGTAAAATACTAGCGAGTACAATAATGTACTAGCTCATGTGGCTTTTGTGAGAATTCAGTGATTTACACTATAAACCTGGTATTGTTTGCATTAGCTTATCCTTTGGGGGTCTTTTTTATTTATTTTTAATTGGCAAGAATTTCTTATCTTTAATTGCTGGTAGTCAGCTCAATTCTGACAAATAGATGGCTATTACTTAATGCAGAATGAATGAATAAAGGAATGAAATAAAATGTTACAGAATCAGCTTACACAGTGGAGATGTTTGCTCCTCTAGTTGCACCAGTTGCCAGGCCATGCAGCTAAAAATAGACCTACCATATCATCTCCAGACCTGGCCTCACTACAGAGTAGATCAAACTAACAATAGAGCCTGCTCAGCTTGATCAGAAGACTGATCTGGGGCATCCTGGTCCCTCTTCCAGACTCTGCAAGCCTCTAAAGTCTGCTTCTAGTCTCATATCTGGGACCAACCCCACAGGAAATAAGAAATGTTTTCTTTACCAACTCATGGCCAAAGTTACACTGGCATATTTTGAAGTTAGTTTTCAACAAATATTCTACTGTATGAAAATAGAGTCCCTGGACTTAGAAAAGGAAATAAATTTCTTAAGCCCTAACCAGATTCCAGAAATGAGTTAGTTCTTACCTAATGGAGAATGATTGTGTATGAATCAATAAGTACAATCTATGGCTACAGTGACAATTTTTATAATTGTCAGAATGACTATTACAGTTAGATACAAGGGTAACCTCATCGCAACATTTGTAACCACTGATGCCAAATAAATTTTTCAGGAACCTGGTATAGAATTTGGTTTTGAAGAGGTTTGGACTGGAGAGCTAGATCTACAACATATAAGGCAAACAATTTTAGCTCAAACCTCTTTGCACCTTAATCTGAAATAGTGGTAATGCTAGCCCCACGGTGATTTGTACAGGTTAAAGAATGCAAAATGCTTATTATATCATAAACAGTAGCTGTCCTTGACCTACCCTATTCATTCTAACCTTTCACAGGTGCGGTGCTGCCCCTGGCTTTGGGTTTGGCCATCACTGCTTTGCTGCTTCTCATGGTTGCTTGCCGACTACGACTGGTGAAACAGAAACTTAAGAAAGCCCATCCCATTACATCCGAGGAATCTGACTACCTCATAAATGGGATGTATCTGTAGTAATGTAACTTAAACAGCTTGGGGCAAGGACATGTTTTGCTTATAATTTATTCTATATTAAGTTCTGGTGTTTACAACCTCTTTTTACAATTGGGCTAGAAGATTCTTCAAATTGCAAACCTTTGTCTTTATTTATTGTAGAAAGATTTTCCTTAGGGAGTATGTGAAATACCTTGAAATGTAGGGAGGAATTCATGTGCTTAAAGATTCTACCAGTCTGATTCTGATTTACTAACCTGTCCCTAGAAACATAAATTTGTAGTTAGCTGAGATTAAACAAAGACTTGTCCTTGGAATGGTGGCACTCACCGTCCTCTTTTGAGAAGCCAACACTGGCCGCTGGCAGTGCTGGGCCACTTTAGGCCAGCTTCCCCACATTTTGTGGCCCTGTCTTCCTTTAATCTCCAATGTTCTGTTTCTTTTCCCCTCTAAAACCTGTTTCTGATCTCAAGTGAGTTTACTCTTTCAAATGTCACATATGGCAGGTGTACATAAATTATAAGCCTTCTCAACAGGTCAGTGATGCCTCACGGGACAGGAATGTGGGTTCTTTCCAGCACTTCTGATATCATGGCATGTAGTTGGCTGCCTCAAGCTGATCTTTGGAGCAAATAAAAAACAATTTTGGATTAGGAACAGTTCTAAGACAGTTATAAAGTGAGATCAGAAGCAGAGAATATGGTGGGCCAAAAAATTTAACAGAAACTTAGCTGAGGGCAAAGCAAGGGCAGTTAATACTCAACTATAGCTGGTCAACACTGCATCAAGCAACTTATTTACGCAGTCATGTTTTCAACCTGATTCTTTAATAAAAAAATATGCAAATTCTAAAGAACATCAAGTAGATTTCTGCATACAGTTTTTATAAAAATGGTACATACTATGTTTAAGTACCAACAGATCCTACCTGCTAATGGAATGTCAGGTTTTTTTCTAATACTTTTTAATGCTACAAAATGTTTGGTTTGGTTTGGTACTGGGGATTGAACTCAGGACCTCATTTGTGCCATGCAGGCACTGTACCACTGAGCTAAATCCCCAGCCCAATATAAAATATTTTAACAGAGAGGCACTAGCTCATACCTATAATCCCAACATCTGAGGCAGGAGGATCCCAAGTTTGGGTCTCACCTAGCAACTTAGTGATACCCTGCCTCAAAATAAAAAATGAAAAGGGCCAGGGATGTAGCTCAGTGGGAAAGACCCTGACTTCAGTCCCCAGTATTCACTCCATACAAAATGTTTTAATGTACATTCATTTAATGCCAGGCTTACATATTTCCAGAGCAGAGAGCAGTTTTGCACATATTCATCCTTACAGAAATCTGACAGCTAGCTTAACATCTTTCCCCTTTTAAATCTGTAGGCATTTAAAGGCAAATTATTCTCCTCATAGCTTAAAGTAAGAGTGTATACATTCTAGAAATTATTCTAAGAGGAATGTATAGTGTGGTGCCTGTCTACCCTTACATGATGTTCCTATTTATACTTTTTCTTTTTACCATATGACAAATATTTAAAAACACTCTGCTTGAAGCTAAGTAGGTAGTTGATTTGGGTGGGGGGGAATATAACATATCAACCTTAACAAGTGTAAAGATCTAGAAAAACAAATTGAGCATTATTTTTTCCTGAGAAATTCCAGTTGAGCAATGATTTAAATTTCTTGGTGGCAGTTTTTGAGAAATCAAGGATATGAATGAATTTAAGATGTCTGTACTCTCTATGTGATGCTGTGCAGTTTGTTTTTCTGTAGAAGGAGATCATCTATAGCCATACCCAATAAAATAAAAACTGATAAGGCATGTATCTTTAGCATATCTTTTATACATGAGGAAATCAAATAGAACTTAGTATTGCTATGGTGTTGAAATACTTGGGAAGGGTTGACCCATGTTTATGTATACAATGTTCCTTTAATAAATTGTATTTTATTCTTAAGCCCTTTAAAAACTATTTCATTATAAACCTGTTATTGATGTTGACTGAGCTGTTAGTATATTATTTGCATTTAATCATACTATGTTTCAAAGGAGGAATATGAGGATTGCAGAAAACTGGCTTGCCCAAGACCATCTAGAATACATTGGAAGAGAAGAGAGTCAGTTTCTACAAAATATTTATCTCAGATGGACAAGGGCTTGTGTGTGTACATGTGTGTGTGATGTTCTATGTAGATTGGACCCAGGGCCTTGCATACACTAGGTAAGCACTCTACCACTGAGCTACACCTGAACTGGGACTGTTAACAGCTTTCTTACCTGTGATCATCTGACTAAAGGAGTTCACATGTAAGGCAATGCAAAAATAATGTTAAAGGGAAATATGTCCACAATTTTACCTCTTAAACATGTTCTTGCTTTTCATATCTTCCTAAGACCCAGAACCATCTTCCTGAAAACTTAAAACTTTCCTTTCAAAAGTAGCCAATGGCTAATTCCTCCAGACCTTCCAAAAAAATTTCAATGTTTCACATCACTTGAGTAGTAAGTATGGCCTCTTCCATATAATTCTTCCATGAAAGAATTCCAAATAATTTTTTCATCTTTTCCCAATGGCTGTTCAAACCCTGTGACTTGGCCCCACAGCTGCCTATCATACTTATCCACACCTTCTTTCCATCAGGATGGCTACTGTTCTTTCTTTGCCCACAACCCAAACACAGAGGTGCGTATTTGTGGTGTCCTTCAGGATGGTTGTTCAAGACAGACTTTGATGGCTAGGTGGGTTTCTCCTGTGTAACTCAGCAATGTGCTGAGCCCTAGAACACAGGCAGCCCTTACCTTTAGGTGCTCCCTCAGTGATGTATAATGCTGATGGTGCCCCCTTAACATAAGCATCTGAGCTTGGGCTTCTGCAATTCAGAGTCACAGTTAAATTTTATCATCCCCAAACAAGTTCAAGTTTTGGCTTGCTTTCTTTGGGGATTACAGTATACTATCTTCTTAGCAGAGCTATTCCAATCATTTGTTTGCTGGCCTTCAGGTTTTTTATTTTATTTTTTATTTTTTTTGGTATTAAAATTGAGACAGGGCCAGAGATTTAGCTCAGTGGCACCACTCCAGTACCAAAAAAATTGAGACTTTCAAACAGTTGCTAAGCTGAACATGAAAAGGAAAAGGCTGTTTGCTGCTTACAAATGTCCACATCTCACTGGCGTGTGTGTGTGTGTCTGCGTGTGGTACCAGGGATTGAACTCAGGACCTTGTGCTTGCAAAGCAGGCAAGTTGCCATTGAGCTAAATCCCTGGCCTCTTACTGGCTTTTAAAGTACCTGTCATATATTTTCTAGTTGGCTCTTGGTACCATTTTTCAAGCTTTCTGTCCTACTAGATTATAGGACTCTATAGATAAGAAATTTTTAAGCTATAGCAATTGCAATGGCGAAGTCTTAGGCTAAATATGAAACCATCAATGATGAAAATAAAGTTAGGTAAAAATAAGTTTAGACATTCCAAAGCTGTTTTCAGAATAGACTGAAATGAGCCACCTTCTACATTTCCGAGATATGTTTTCATTCCTAGCTATTTTAATTCTGAAATTATGCCATGATACTGCAAATTAGAAAGATCAACCTATATTTCAATCCTTAACATTATGAACAGAATGTAAGATCTGTCCATAAAGTTAAACTTAGGAAACTACTCAAAATAATTTAAAAAATAAATAAATAAATAAAACAGCCCCTTGCTATACAGTTCAGGCTGGGCCTGAACTCACCATGTATCTTGGGCTGGCCTCAAACTCATGGCAATCCTCCTGCCTCAGCCTTCTGACTGTTGGGAATACAGGGGTACACCACCACACCTAGCTTCAAAACAAGTTTTGATATAAAAGTAATATTTATCTTTAAAAAAGCTTAAGGGCTGGGGATTTAACTCAGTGGCAACTGTGCCTGCCTCACAAGTGTAAGATTCTGAGTTCAATCCCCAGTACTGGGGGGGCGGGCTTGAGTATAAAGGCTTTTATTCTCTCATTTTCATGGTCATTTCATATGACCAAGATGAAAAATGCAAATAAATCAAAGGGTAGTCTTAACAGTTCTATAGATGAGAGATTTGGGAGTCTCTGTGTATTTATATCTACATATTTGTGCACAGAAAAATTCAGAACTATGAACTACCCAATCTGAGGCCTGCCTCAGAAATCTGTCACTGAGGGTGGTTGATGCAGCAATGGTCTTGACACACTGTAAAATCCCTACTTGTAACTTCCTGGCCTAATTTATCTAATGATAGCATCCATCTCCTAATTGTTCTTTGAGGCCAAGGTCCTAAATGGAGGCAAGCCTTTCTCCCCTAGAAAATATTCTTTGTATAACTAATTTAAAAACCTACACAATAGTATTTACATGGAAATTCTGCAGTCTCTGGTCTACAATGAAATTCCTAGGCAAAATCCTGACAGGATAATTACAATGAAAGAAAAAAAAACCCTAAATAATCAAGTAGCAGAGGCTGGGAATTTAGCTCAGTGGTAAAGAACTTGCCTAGCATGAGCAAGGACTTGGGTTCAATCCCTAATACTGCAAAAATAAAAAAAGTGACAGCAAAGGAAATTATTCCTTAAGATGTGATACTTTGAGGGACATAAAAAATGCTTAGGGTGTGGAAATTCAAATATAAATGTCCCCAGAACCCCAAGCCCCTGGATTCTGCCTTCTCACCTTTTCAATGTCCTCACACTAAAATGTCCTTAGTAGTGCCATTACCTTAACCTTAGGGGGAAAATAAAATTGTGATGCCCAAGCTACTGGGACACCACCTAAGTAAGAATGAATTCTTCAGGGGCCTTCAATGTCCCTTCCGGTTGAAAGAAGACAAAAAACAGGAAAGAAGGGAGACCAGACAGACAACAAAGGCTCCAGGGATTCACTGACCCAGTATGCTAAACCTTGTAGAAACTGGAGTAACAGGTATTACTGTTTTATCTCCTACCAAGCAAGGGGCCATTTAAAAAAATTCTAGCCCAAACACAAAAATAAGCTATATGATTGAAATAAAATTACAGCATATACATTTTTTTAAATAAGCTAAAAAGACAAAAAGTTCAACATGAGGAGCCAGCAAGGACTCTTAGTAGCAATAATATTAAAAGAATTAAAGATAAAGAAATTATTTGATTTGATTTCCTTTTTATTATATTACAATGCACAAAGTTCCTTGGACCACCAGTTTTTATTAAATGGATGCTTCCATGGATACTTTCAGTATGGTGGGAGAAATTCAGAAAAATACAACTGAAATCCAATCCGAATTCTTTTGTTTTAGTTAATACAGTTCCCTAAGAACACAGTAAGTTGAAGAAAATGATTCATATGCCACAAGAATTTTAGCACTTAACTAAAATGCTACTGGCCCATTTTGAACATTTAAAAATATATGCACATTATTTGTTTATAATATTAGGACTTGTTACTATACTCACATGAATTCTTTTAGTGCCAAACTACTGAAAAATTTAACATTCAACTGAAAATCAGAATCATCTACCTCTCTAGTGAAACAATAAATAACAAACAACAAAAAACCCTGAGAAGTTATTCTGGCTGAAAATTACACACCATGAATAGCTTCAAAGATTTCATGACTATTAGGTTATTACTAAAAAAAAAAAAATTCTATTTTAAAATCCAGTGAATCTTTAAGATGCTTTCACATAGGTATATTGTAGCCAATTTTAAGGTTTCTTCAACTTTTTTTTTTTTTTTTTT